CTGTGAGTTCAAGGCCAGCCTGGTCTACATAGTGAGTTCCAGGACAGCTGGGGCTACAGGGAGACCCTGTCTCAAAAAGACCAAAAAAAAAAAAAGATAAAAGTGCTAAGCATGGTGGTATACACCTTTAATCCTAGCATGTGGGGGGCAGAGGTAGATGATCTCTGCGAGATAGAGGCCAGCCTAGTCTACATAGTGAGTTCCAGGCCAGCTGTGGCTAAAGAGAGACCCTATCTTTTCAAAAAGATCAAAAACAAGCAAGGGGGCTAGAGAGATGGTTCAGTGGTTAAGAAGAGCATTGTCTGCTCTCGCAGAGGACCTGGGTTTGGTTCCCAGTACCCACATGGCAGCTAACAACCATCTGTAACTCTAGTCCCAGGGGATCTGGTGCCCTCTTCTGGCTTCTATGGACATTGCATGCACATGGTGTACCTATTTCCATGCAGGCAAAATGCTCATACACATAAGATAACAATAAACCAAAATATAAAAAAAAACCTAAAACATAAAACAAGGCAGGGCATGATGGCACACACCTTTAATCCCAGCACTTTGAAGGCAGAAATGGGGATCTATGTGAGTGTGAGACCTGGTCTACATAGTGAGTTCCAGGCTACTCATTATTGACTACATAGTGAGACCCTGTCTTAAAAAGTGAAGAAAGAGGGCCTGGTGTGGTGGCACACGCCTTTAATCTCAGCACTCGGGAGGCAGAGGCAGGCAGAGCTCTGTGAGTTCAAGGCCAGTCTGGTTTACATAGTGAGCTCCAGGACAGCTGGGGCTACAGGGAGACCTTGTCTCAAAAAGACCAAAAAAGAAAAGAGAAAAGAAAGAAATGCACACCTTCAATTTGAGGGTTTGCGAGATAGAGGCAGGAGGGTCAGAAGTTCAAGGTTATCCTTGGAGGCCAGTCCAGGCACAGAAGACTCTGTCAAAACCAGGTGAGAATAAGGGAACAAAAGGTAGTCTTGGCAAGAACTATAGACTACCATAGTATGAGGTCACCCTAAGGCCATAGTCTAGTGGAAGAATGGGATGGTAATGTCAGGAGAAAGTGAGTTAATTGGACAAACTGAGACTAAAGAGTCAATAAAAATATCGATGCACAAGAGATTAGAGTAGTAAATTTAGCCAGGTATGGGAGTGGATGCCTGTAATGCCCGTACTCAGGAGACTGAGGCAGGAGGATCATGAGTTTGAGGCTAGTCTGGGCTACAAAATTTCAAAAAGCTAAACAAAAAGGTGAAGTAGTAAACTGTAGAGATCTGGGAAAGTTACAAGAAATCTGCCTTGTTTATTCTTCCCTCCCACATGTTGCAGATGATCTGCCCCGGGCAGAAGGCCTGGTGGCCAGTGAGGCAGCTGAAAGGCTGGGCCGGGGCTGTGTGTGGGATGTGGCTGGTGAAGATGGTCATCGCTGGAGAGTGTTCCGAACAGGACAGCAAGAGCAGCGAGTGGACATGACCATCATTGAACCTTATAAGAAAATCCTGTCTCATGGAGGTAATGGCTAATAGAAATACAAAAATAAAAAAAATGGCAGTTTGGGTTGGTGAGTTGGCTCATCCAGTAAAGGCACTTGCTATGCAAGCCTGGGGACCTGAGTTTGACATCCAGAACCCAGGGAAAGGAACAAGGAGAGAACAAATCCACAAAAGTTGTCCTCTAATCTCCACGCCTGCCCATGCACACATACACAGGGGCGTGGTGGCGCACGCCAGGCAGAGGCAGGCAGATCTCTGTGAGTTCAAGGCCAGCCTGGTCTACTTAAGTGAGTTCCAGGACAGCTGGGGCTACAGGGAGACCCTGTCTCAAAAGACCAAAAAAAAAAAAAAAAAAAAAAAAAAAAAAAAAAAAACTCCTCTAAAAAGCAGCCACGCACTAAGGCGGCTTAACTATCACGCCTAAACTGGAGACTCAGATGTTGATTTAGCATGCTTCCTATGATTTCCAAAGACCCCCCACCCAGCATCTGTCAAGCTAAATTGTTGTATTTTCTATTGACATATTTGTAATTGAGTGAAATTTTCTCTTATTGGTCCTTAGGTTACCATGGTGATGGCCTCAATGCTGTCATCCTCTTTGCTTCCTGTTACCTACCCCAAAGCAGCATCCCCAACTACACCTACATCATGGAACACTTGTTTAGGTGAGGTGAAAAACTGAACCGCTGCATGGAGGGGATTACGGAAGGAAAAGTAAAAAAGAGCTCTGTCCAAATTCAGTAGCTGACTGGAGACTCTTCACACCTGTGTTCTTAAGTTCCTGAAACAGCCAACATGCACCCTCCCTAAAATTTTGCTCCCCAGGTATATGGTGGGAACTTTAGAGCTGCTGGTAGCTGAAAATTATCTGCTTGTTCATTTGAGTGGAGGCACAAGCAGGGTCCAAGTGCCACCGCTGAGCTGGATACGCCAGTGTTATCGTACCTTGGATAGGAGGTGAGACCCTGGGATAAGAGGGCTACAATCTTCTATTGTATATTTTTCTTTCCTATTTTTCTGTTTCTGTTTCTTCTGAGATGGTCTCACTATGTAGCCCAGGCTGTCCTTAAACTCAAGGACCAATTGCCTCAGCCTCCTTGAGTGCTGGGATGACTGGCATGAACCACCACATCCAACTCCCTTCTTCTTTGCTTTGTCCTCTACATCCCTTTCCAAGCCTCTCCTGTCTTCTGTCTGTCCTCACAGTCAGGAAAATATAGCCATTAGGCCTTGTCAGCTACAATTTGGATAAAAAACTTAGCTGTCCTGGGCTTCTGTATCCTTGTAAATCCATGTGGCATATTGCCTGACACAAGAAAGTCACTCTTGGGGCTGGAGAGCTGTCTCAGCAGTTAAGAGCACTGGCTGCTCTTGCAGAGGATGAGGATTCAGTTCCCAGCACCTACATGGTGGCTAACAACGGTCTGTAACTCCAGTTCCAGGGAATCCAAAACCCTCTTCTGGCCTCTGTGGGCACTGTATGCATATGGTGTACTTACACACATACATGCAAGCAAATAAAAATAAAACATAAAATTAAAAAAATTTTTTTTTGGAGACAGGGTCTCCCTGTAGCTCCAGCTGTCCTGGAACTCACTGTGTAGACCAGGCTGGCCTTGAACTCACAGAGATCTGCCTGCCTCGGCCTCCCAAGTGCTGGGACTACAGGCATGCGCCACCACACCCAGCTTACAATAAAATATTTTTTAAAAAGAAAGTTTCTCTTTCTTTTCCAAGTCTTGCCATCTCACTTTCCACTTCCTACTGTTTTCTTCTCTCCCTCCATCCCTGACATATGCATCATCTTTTCCTGCTCATGTTCCTTTTTTCCCTTTGTTTTGCCTCATCCTCCTATTTATTGATGTATTTAGAGACGGGATCTCATGTCATCCAGGTTGACCTTGAACTCTCTCTATAGCTGAGGATAACTTTGAACTTCTGACCCTCCTGCCTTGGTACCTCCCCAGTGCTTGGATTACAGATGTGCACCACCCTGCCATGCCTGGCTTGTCCTATCTTTTTTTTTTTTTTTTTTTTTTGCTTAATTTTTTTTTCTTCTTGCATCTTTTCCATTTTTCCTCCTTACTTTTTTTTTTCTTCACTTAGAATTTTGTTGTTGTTGTAGTTTCAAGGGAGTCATTTGTTTTATTTCAGATGGGGTCTCATATAACCCAGGCTGGTTTTGAATTCCCAATATAGCCTAGGCTGGAAGCTGGCCTTGAACTTGTGATTCTCCTGCCTCCAATTCTTTTCTTTTTGTCTTTTTGTTCTTTTTCAGACGGGGTCTCCCTGTAGCCCCAGCTGTCCTGGAACTCACTGTGTAGACCAGGCTGGTCTTGAACTCACAAAGATCCACCTGCCTCTGCCTCCCAAGTGCTGGGACTACAGGCATATGCCACCACGCCCGGCTCCTGCCTCCAATTCTAACTGCTAGGATTATAGAAGCTACCACCCCTGGCTTCCACTTGGACTCTTATGTAGTAGCCTGGGTGACATAGTGGGAAGAATGGAGACTTTTTTTTTTTTGTCTTTTTGAGACAGGGTCTTCCTGTAGCCCCAGCTGGCCTGGCACTCACTATGTAGACCAGGCTGGCCTTGAACTCACAGAGATCTGCCTGCCTCTGCCTCCCAGGTGCTGGGACTAAAGTTGTGAGCCACCATGTCCAGTTTAGGAATGGAGACATTTGCAAAAGGAATTTATGTGGGGGTACAGTAGGAGGGAAATAGGCTGGCAAAGGCCAGGCTTCAGATACTGTTAAAAGAGTTCCCTAAAAATGGAGCATAAAGGACTGACTAAGGTAGGCAGAACTAGGAGTGCCTCTAAAGGAATGGGGACTTGGCACAGCTGACAGAGAAATCTAGAAATGAGAGAAGCCAAGGAGGTTTCAATAGAAAAGATAACCACCTGATCCTCAAGGATGAAGGTGGAATAGGAATGGATGTTCATGTAATGTTCTTCTTCAGGCTCCGAAAAAACCTGCGTGCTCTGGTGATTGTCCATGCTACATGGTATGTGAAGGCATTCCTGGCACTGCTTCGGCCCTTCATCAGGTACCTTCAGGGGACAAGTACTCCCCCTTTCTCTATATTCAATGTCAAGGTCAAGGGGACTCTCACCCCATCCTCTACCTAGCCTTAATAAACATTCTACTTGCTACATTTCCCTTTATGAGGCTCTCCAGGAACTGTTCTCCCAATACAAAACATAATGGGTTTATTCTCTCTTCAGTTCCAAATTCACACGAAAGGTCCGTTTTCTGGATAGCCTTGAGGAGCTGGCCCAACTCATCTCCCTGGATCAAGTCCACATTCCTGAAGCTGTCAGACAGTGAGTCCAGCACTTAAGGATGATGGTTTGGGATGGGATATATAAGGCCGATCTTGTTTCTTAATGTCTTTGTGGAGTTACAAAAGAACTAAGACAGAGTTGTGGGTGTTTTAGTGTATATGGGAAAACAGCATACAACTAGAGAAATTAAGGAAAGTACTGCATTTGTCAAGAACAAATGAAGGAGGCTGCTGAGATGACTTAATGGGTAAAGGCATTTATTGCTAAGCTTGATGACTTGAATTTGATCCTCAGAACCTATATGGTGGGAGGTTATCCTCTGACCTGCACATGTATGCCATGGCATGAATGTGCCCACATGCATGTATGCACATAAATAAATAATAAATAGTAAATGTATGTATGTAAAAAAATGTTTAAGAGGCTGGAGAGATGGCTCATGAATAAGAGCACTGACGGCTCTTGCAGAGGACCCAGGTTCAGTTCCCAGTACACACCTGGCAACTCACAACCATCCACAACTTCAGTTCCAAGGGACCCAACACCCTCTTCTGACTTCCATGGGCACTGCATGACATGGGTACACTTACATACCTGCAGGCACAACACTAATACACATAAAATAAAAATAAATTTAAAGTTTAAAAAATTTTTTAAAAAGAATAAAAAAATAGAGCAAGAGAGAGAGAGAAACAGAGACAGAGACAAAGGCAAAGGGGCATAAAGGAATAATCACAGCACAGATGTTACAGGAGGTGCAATGTAGCCCTACAAATTAGGAAGTGGTTATCTGGCAATTAACAGGAGATTACATCCAGTGGGGAAGATAGTATTAGGGGGTAAAGGATGGGAAATGATGACTCCAGCACCCAGTCTTCTAGCTCATCCAACTCACTTGACTTATTTTCCCAAAGAAATGAGTGAAAACCTAAGTCCTGATCCTTGAATCACTTTTTCCCTCCAAACCGTCTGTAGGCTGGACAAGGATCTCCATGGCTCAAGAGGCACCTAGCACCAAACTGGACAAAGGGCTTTAGGACCAGGCAAGGCTCATGATCTGTCTACCATGAGCTGTTCTGCAAACCATCTCACCCTCAACCCCAGTTCCACTGGATCTTTACTTCTCAGTTGATACCCTTTCTCCTGGACACTGCCTTCCTGGGGTTTGAGGTGGGGAATCCCATCTGCTTTCATTTCAGTTGTCCAAAAGGAAGGCTGGGTGTAGTACTGGAAGTGCAGAGCTCTGGGTTTTAATGGTGCTTTAGCTACAGAACATGTGGGTCTCATTGTCCTTCTCTGTAATTGAATCAGCTGCAATCCTTTCCATCTTGGTTGTCCTAGCAGTCTTTGAGAGAAGATGGATGAAAGGTAAGGGCTTAACCAACCACAGCCAGCCTGTCTGCTGGGAGCCCAGGAGCCAGCTCGCAAAATCTTGAAGAAACCCTAGTCACGTCTTCTGCTGGTGATGCTGGGAAGGAATGCTGTCGAAACATGTATTTTCACCATCATTAGTAAATTCAGACCTGTGGCCTTTAATAAACTGTGATGAGAGATTTAAATCTGCGCCGAGGAAATGAACAACTCTCCCCCCACCCCCCACCCCTTACATCATAATCTGCCTTTTGCTTCTGGCATAGAATTCTTGCTTGCCAGGGTTCCCTGGGATTTTTAGCTTAGCCCCAGGGGCTGCAGGCCCTGCGCAGGGAGAGCACACAGAAGGGGTGGCACGCGCGGGGGCGCACCCGCCATGTCAGTTCAAGTGACCTCGAGGCCTGGCTGGTTGGTGGAGAGCCAAAGGGAGGGAGAGAAGGTAGGAGCCTGGGCCTACCTCTCGACCCCAAGCCTCCCAGCCCCATGGTCCCCGCAGCCTGCTTGCTGCTCTGGGCCCCGCTGCTTAGTCTGGGGCTCCAGGCGGCGGGGGCCCAAGATCAGACCACAAATCCGACCGTAACCCCCACTGGGATGCAGCGGATCAGCTTCCGCTTAGGGGGCCCGGCCCGCAGCCACCAGAGCACAGCCATCACTGCCCAGACCACTGTTCTGAGGAAGGTGAAGGTAACTCTGGAGGACGAGAATGATGCCCTGGCCACTGCCGACCGCCTGGCTGGCCCCGCGGCCCAAGAGCTCCTGGCCACTGTGTCAGGTATCAGTCGGTCGTCCATGGCCAGCCCTATCGAGGATGAGGATGGATCCTTGGAAGAGGGGATCGTGATAGATGTCAGGAGGAGTACCACCTATGGGACTCCCAATACGTTCTCTAGTACTATGGGAAGTCCCAGCACTACCGGGAGAGTTTTGGCCAATACCCAGGAGCGAGATATTAGGTTGATCACCAGCTTGACACCCTTCACTTCGAAGTCTACTGTCGGAGACTTGTCTTCTGAAACCACCATACCACAGTGGTCGACGCCTGGGTGGCCATCACCCTCACCCACAGCCATGCCATCTCCCGAGGATCTGCGGGTGGTGCTGATGCCGTGGGGCCCGTGGCACTGCCATTGCAAGTCAGGCACCATGAGCAGGAGCCGGGCTGGGAAACTGCACGGTCTTTCAGGGCGCCTTCGTGTTGGGGCACTAAGGGAGCTCCGCACAGAGCACCGGCCTTGCACCTACCAGCAATGTCCTTGCAACAAACAACGGGAGGAGTGTCCTTTGGACTCAAGTCTCTGTCCTAGGAACAGCTGCAGCTCACAGACCACCCCTCAGCCTGCCACCTCTACAGAGTCCCCTGTCCACCTCAGACGCAGACCCATCCTACCAGCACCCAGCCCCAGCCCCAGCCCCAGCCCAGCTCTTGCTTTTTGGAAACGAGTCAGGATTGGCCTAGAGGATATTTGGAATAGTCTTTCTTCAGTGTTTACAGAGATGCAACCAGTAAGTGTTTTGTTGATGCACTGGGTTCTTTCTTGATGAGTCTGTAAAATCTTCATGTCCTAGATCCTGTTGCTAACACTGCCAGCCAGGGTGCTTGCATGATGTTATTGACTTAACTGTTTAGTTACAGTCATAACATGCATTGGTTGTAAGTGTTCAGTTTGGACCATTGTGTGTTTACACCCATGCACATGTACACTAGGGTTCAAATCCAGAATTTCATACATGCTAGGCAGGTGCTCTACCACTAAGCTGTTATCTCTAGCTACCCCCTCCCCTTTTTCTACACAGGGTCTCACTATGTAGTCTTGGCTGGCCTGGAACTTTGCTGTGTAGAGCAGGCTGGCCTTGAACTCACAAAGATCCACTTGCCTCTGCTTCCTGAGTGCCGAGACTAAAGGCATGTGCCACCACACTTGACTAACACACATTATTTTTGTTGAGACCAGGTCCCACTATCCTGTCCAGGCTGCTCTGTAACTCCTGGGCTGAACTGATCCAACCACCACCACAGCCTCAGAATAGTGGGATACTCAATTACCCATTTATTATTTTTTTTAATTAAAAATTTTTATGCCAGGCGTGGTGGCACACACCTGTAGTCCCAGCACTTGGGAGGCAGAGGCAGGCAGATCTCTTTTGAGTTAAAGGCCAGCCTGTTCTACATAGTGAGTTCCAGGCCAGCTGGGGCTACAGAGAGACCCCGTCTCAAAAAAACCAAAAAACAAACAAACAAAAAAATTAATGTGTTAAGTGTATTGCCTACATGTAAGTGCACCCGTGTCGTGCAATGCCCATGGAAGTCGGAAGAGGGTGGGCATCAGATCCCCTGGAACTGGAGTTATCGATGGTTGTTAACTACCATTAAGAGCTGGGTCCTCTCTAAGAACAGCCAGTACTGTTAACCCCTGAGCCCCTACGCAGCCCCTACCCATTTATTTTGTCTTTTAAAAATAGGGTCTTCCAGCCCCTGCTTCTCAGTAATAAAAGACAAAAGCCATATGAAAAACAAAACAAACAAAAAAATAGGGTCTCCCTGTAGCCCCAGCTGACCTGGAACTCGCTAGGTAGACCAGGCTGACCTCAAACCACCTGCCTCTACTTCCCAAGTGCTGGGATTAAAAGTGTGCACCACCATGCCAGGCTCCTACCCATTTATTTTTGAGACAGTCTTTTTGTTTTATTTGAGACAGGGTCTCCTTGTAGCCTGCTGGCCTGGACTTCACTATGTAGACCAGGCTGGCCTCAATCTCACAGTGTACTGGGATTAAAGGTGTGTGCCACCAAGCCTGGTTTTTTTCTTTTTGCATTTATTTGTGTGCGTATCTCTTGGGGTGCGAGGGGGCTGCACATGTGTGCGCCATTGCACACTTGTGGTCAGAGGACAACTTGTAGGAGTCAATTCTCTCCTTCTACCATGTAGGTTCCAAGGGTCAAACTCAGGTTATAAGGCTGAGGTAAACATCTTTATCCATTGAGCCATCTCACTAGCTGGAGAGACTCTCTCAGGGCCCAAACTGGCCTCAAACTCAATATGCAGCTGAGGATGACCCTGAACACTTGATTTGAACCTGCTCCACTTCCCTAGTGCTGGGATTACAGGCATGCACCATCATACCTTATAATTTCTTGAGTAACTGCTGTTTAGTTATTTAGCAATGTGTCTTATTAGACATCAGATGATTCACTAAATGCTGGATTTCTCGCTTCCTTCCTTTAAAATTTTTTAAAATTTATATAT